CTTAAGTTATTACTATGTATTTCATGTTTGGTGCTACTATAAATGGAAATTTTTTTTCAACTTTATTTTCCAACTGTTGCTGCTAGTACGTAGAAATACATTTCATTTTTGTGTATTGCCCTTCTATCTTGTGACCTTGCAAAGTTTACTTATTATATTTAGTGGTTGCTTTTTAGATTCTTAAGGACTTTTCATGTAAACAGGCATGTCATATGCAAAGAGAGACACTTTTACTTTTACTTTCCTATTTCATACCTTTTTTTAAACCTTGTTTCATTGACTAAAACCTCCAAGTTTCTGTTGTTGAATAGAAGTGGTAGAAGTGTACATTCTTGCCTGTTCTGACAATCTCTTTGTTTTAATTGGAGGATGTAGTCAATTTTCACTTAACTATCATTATCATTCAATCAAGGATTACTACTTATCTATTTGCTTTCTATTCATCCTAATTAGTGTTTTTCCTTTCTGACATTTTTTTTTTGGTTTAATCAAATGTTCTTAGAATTCCATTGTCATTAAACTGTTGACATTTTAGCTATAATTTCTGAATTTTTTAATGGTTGCTCTATGGATTACAATATACATTCCATAACTTATCACAGTCTACTCAAGAGTTAATATTTTTCTACTTCAAGTAAAATGTAATTACCCCACAAACAATTTCATTCACCTCATACTGTCCTTTGTACTACTGTTGTCAAATGTGTTATATCTACACACATTACAAGCCGCACCATGCAATGTTACAATTTTGTTTTTAATTAACTTTAATAAATAAATTAAGAAGAGAGAAAATATATAGTCTTTTTAATTTACCCACATAGTTACCAGTTGTTTAATCACAATTATACTCAGTGAGGGGCAACCTAGTGGGTGGAGGACAAGGATGCTGCTAACATCCTACAATGTAGAGTACAGCCCCACTGAAACCAAGAATTATCCAGCCCAGAATGTCAACAGTGCCAAAGTTGAGAAACTGGCTTGAGATAAGAGGCATTATTTTTATCTGATGGCTTTCAAGATAATTTCTTTATAACTTTGGTTTTCAGCATATTAACTGGTGTGCCAACATAATATTTTGTTTTTACTTATCCTGCTTTGCAGGGGAGTTCTCTGACTCTGTTAAATCTGTCAGGTTTTTAAAGCAAACATGGGGAATGTTTTATCATTATTTTTTCAATATTTTATGCCCAATTATCTTTCTCCTCTCCTTCTGGGACTCAATTACACTTATTTTAGACTGCTTTATATTGTCCCGTAGGTCCCTGAGGATCTGTTTATTGGTTTTCAACCTCTTTCTCTCTGTTCTTCAGACTGAATTATTTCTTTTGACTTGTCTTTACATTAATTGAACCTTTTTTCCTGCTTTCTCCAAACTTCTACTAAGTCCATCCAGTGTATTTTTTTTTGGTGGATACTGTACTTTTTAGTTCTAGAGTTTCTTTTTTAAGTTTGTATTTCTTCCTGAAATTTCCCATCTGTTCATTTTTACTTTATTTCCTTTAAGTCCTGTTTATAATAGTTGTTTATAAAAGTTGTTTTAAGTCTTTGTCTACTAATACCAACATCTGGTTCATCTTGGGGTCAGTTTCTATTAATTGCTTATCCCCTTAATTGTGGGTCACATTTTCTTGTTTTTTCAACTTTCTAGTTATTTTTGTTTACTGAACATTGTGGATGATATATTCATAGATGCTACGGATTGTATAACCTTCCTCTGAAGGCTGTTGATCTTTGCTGAGAAGGAGTCAACTTTTATGAACTCAAACTCCAAACTACCTCCTCTGTGCTGGAAAGGAACTGAATCTCTTCATGGTTCTTTAGCCTTCCATCTGTTGTTTGCCACCAGGTCCCCTGGAGTCCCCTCACACAAAGTTCAAAAGTCAGTCAAGTGTATTTGGGCTGAGTTTACACAGAGATTTTTCTGAGATTTCCCCCTTATTTTCCAGCCTTGCTAACAGTCCTGAACTCTGTCCTCTGACTCCATCAGCTGGTAAGACTGCATCTTTCTGCATAGGCTGGCAGTGGGGTGGGATTGTGTTAGGCAAAAAGCCACAGAAACATAAATCTCATCCAATGCAGTTTCCCTCTTTTAAGGACTGGCTCCCCTTCAGTTTCTGCCTGCTTCTGGTCATTCTTCAGGGTCTTCAAATGTTTTTGTTTCATATTTGATACAATTTTAATAACCGTTATCTGCAGGAGGGATAATCTGATACAAGTAGCTTCACCAATACTAGAATGCCAATTAGGATTATTTTTTTTTGCCGTACGCGGGCCTCTCACTGCTGTGGCCTCTCCCATTGCGGAGCACAGGCTCCGGACGCGCAGGCTCAGCGGCCATGGCTCATGGACCCAGCCGCTCCGCGGCATGCGGGATCCTCTCAGACCGGGGCACGAACCCGTGTCCCCTGCATCGGCAGGCGGACTCTCAACCACTGCGCCACCAGGGAAGCCCGCCAATTAGGATTTTTAAATGTGATAGTTTTATTAGAAATAAAGAGTATTATATCATCTATATTTTGACATAGCCATCTCTCCTAATCCTCATGCACAGTTGCTAGTACAAAGCAAACAACCAGTTTCTATAAGACACTACTTTCATGCCTGAAGAAATTTCTCCATGGTATAATGAAAAGAATGTGGATTTTGGAATCACAGAAATCCTTTACTAACTGCATAAACTTGAAAGTTTATTTACCCCTTAGGCTTTTCCACTTGTCTTATGGAAGTGGTCATTTAGATATCACAAGATTGCTAAAAAGATCAAATGTTTATATTATAAAGCATACAGTAAATGTTGAAAACAAACCTTGGTTTCTTTTCCTTGGACCTTTTCCTGCATTCTAACAGTGGAAACAGAAGGAATTCCTAAAGTATGACCAACTTTTACTAGTTATTCAGTTGGTAACATTTAATTAAGTTTAGGTTATAAGGATGAAAGAACATAAGGAGAGAAAACAACATGAACAAGCATGAGGAAACAGCAGGGGATGTCCAAGGAGACACTGAATCAAGGGAGGATGCACACCTCCACAATTTCTCTGGTTAAGCAAGTGAAGAGGCAGGAGGAAGGCTGGCAATGCAAAGGCATCTTTATCACAGAATTTCTCCATGAGTAAATGGGAAAGGTCTTTCTATGGATATAAGTATATAATAAAACACAGTAATCTAACAAGCAAAACTGCTAGTGAGAAAAGCAACACAAATTTCAAAAATGAAAAAGTATAAAAATAACTTTTAAAGCTTAAATCACACATTTAAGTATTTTTAAAAATTTATTGTGCTTCCTCTTGTTTATGAAAGTAAATTTTGTTCCTTGTAAAAAAAACCCCAAAAAATTAGAATTGCACGACTATATTTTATAAATTTTTGAGATTAAAAATAGATTATGAAAATTTACCATGTGTTTACACATTGTTTTACATGATTTTTAATATCTGCATTATATTTCCTGATTAAAATATGACATAATTTGTTTATTCAGTCTTATAGATTGTTGGAAATTTAGGTTGTTTCTAATTTTCACAACTATAAATTATTCATAAATGATTTTACACATCTCTGATAACTTCTTTGCCTTTTGTCACCTGTAAATATAATCAGCATATAATTAATGTTCTCATCTAAGTCATTACTTAAAATGTTAACAAATAAGGGAACAATGATGGAGTTTTATGAAACACAGAAGAGAATGCCTTCCAAATTGCATCAATTCATGATTACTGTTCCTTAAATATAGGTATGTTGCTATCTAATTGCATCATCTTCCAATTCATATTTCTCCATCTTTTCCACAAGTAGGTAAGAGACTTCATTATATCCAGCTTTACCATTTCTACAGAATCCATTTGACCTGTGTTTCTAGTATCCCATCATAAAAGCATAATCAGGCATCAATTGTTCTAAGTGAATTTGCATAGGTTTTCTTTTCTAAGTTTATTAGAGACAGGTGAAGCCAACACAGCTGCTCTAAGAAAAGCAAAGTGGAGGTATTGCTCCCCCAGACAGGAAAGAGCTGAGAAGGTGACTGCTCTGAGAAATAAGAAAGAATCAGAATTGTTAATTGTAAGACTCTCATGATTACATAATCATATACTACTAACATGATATACACTCTTAGCTTAAGCCACTAAGAATAAGCTGAAGGAGAAAAGGCCAAAGCGAAATGGACATATTTAAGTAATGACAAAGTGTGTCTTTTGAATGTAATACTTTTTTTTTTTTTTTTTTTTTTGCGGTACGCGGGCCTCTCACTGTTGTGGCCTCTCCTGTTGCGGAGCACAGGCTCCGGACGCACAGGCTCAGCGGCCATGGCTCATGGGCCCAGCCGCTCCACGGCAGGTGGGATCCTCCCGGACCGGGGCATGAACCTGTGTCCCCTGCATCGGCAGGCGGACTCTCAACCACTGCGCCACCAGGGAAGCCCTGAATGTAATACTTTCAATGTTATTGATTGATTGTTTTAAGAGTTAGCATAATAGTGCTAGTTATGATCATGTCTCTACATACACAAGCGGTGGGGAAGAACAGAGGCATTTCCTTGGGCTTCTTAGTCAAGTCTACACTGGTGTAAACCAGATGTCAGCAGAGTTTTTCTGTAAAGAGCCAGAGAGTAAATATCTGATCCTGTGGGCCACACAGTACCTGTTGTAACTACTCAACTCTGCCGTTGTAGCACAACGCACCATAGACAACATGCAAATAAATGGATGTGGCTGTATCCCAGTAAAACTTTATTTACAAAACAGGTTGTGGGCTGGATTTGCTCTGTCATTTGCTCACCACTGGTGTAAACAAAGCAATGTAAATATCCAGGCAAAATCATACTTAGCAATCTTCTGAACATGTCCTAAAATTCCAAATGGCGAGCAAGAAATATTGTATAGATCAGTGCAATTTTAATTCCTTATATTACAAGAATCACATTTTCATATCCAGTGAACTCAGTATATAGTTGAAGCAATTTTTCTATATATCGTCAAAACCTGAGATTCATGTACCTGTGCATAATCACCAAAAGGTTGAGCGTAAGCAATGCACTTCTCCAACGTGTGTTGCGATTCATTTCCCTGAGAGATTGCATCCAGAATGTTGCTTGCAATTCCAGTCTTCTGTAGAGTGATTTTACTTGCAGGGGCTTAAGGCAAAATCAATACATATATTTCAGTTGGCTGGTTTTATTATAAATTACAGAGTACAAAACCCGTTAATTCAGCATATTCTCAAATAGAGCACAAATTTTAGTTTGCCAGTAAATATCTACATTTATTATTCCTGAGGGAAAAATACACAGTATGTGATATTGTCTCACTTATTTAAAACAATGAAAATGGAAGCCTGCCCTATGGGTAAATGATCTTGATGGAAACATTTAAAAAGTATATGCCTAATCTCTGAAATAAGGCATACGAAATGTAAATTAACCGTTCTTATTAATGCAATAGGTGTAACCATCAGTTTTTAGATCACATAAAAATACAGTAGGCATACCAGAAGCACATTAAATTTTTTTCTGGCTTTAAAAATTTTTTTAATGTTTAATTACAAATTAATTAATTAATTACAAATTAATGTTTTGGTTCAAGAGGATACTTCATAAAATACAAAGAATGTATACTAAAAACCTCTTTTCATTCAATTCTACTCTTTTTCCCAGACGTAACAGTTTAGAATTAATTTTCTCAGATTTACTTTATGCATTTACACATTCAAATACATGCATATAAGAATACATAGCTTTAAATAAACATAAATGGAATCATTCTATGCACACATTTGCTTCTTCCACTTAATCATTTGCTTTAGAGATCATTTCATATTAGTACACACAGCACTCCCTCAATTATATATTCCATTTTATGACAAACTATTTAACCATTCCCCTATTGATGACCATTAAGGCACTTTCCAATGTTTCACTATTGAAAACCAATGTTATAGTGAATATCTTAGTGCCTAGAGCACACCACATTTGTGATTTTCTCTTAAAACTATATTTGAATTAATAGTTTTAATTTACTAATTGAAGGCTTGAGGAGGGCCTCTAAAAGAGTAAATGAGAATTCCACTTCTGCCGATTATTAGTAACTAACATATTGGGGGGTATTTGGCAAATACTCCGGCTACATTAGATTCCATAGAGGTTTAAACTTCATATTTTAGAAATATGATTCTATATATATTGTAAAGAATTATAGTATTGTCAAATAATTCCTTAATCCAATTATTTTCAATCATGATTCCATAAAATTCAATAAATTGATTATATGCTTAATAACATATTATAAAAGATGTTTTCCTTAAATAAAATAGAATGCATTTTAAAAGCTTTAATTTAGTTATTCTTTCAATCTATGGACTAGGGTCATAACACGGGGTTTAACTGGTTAATACGCATTATTTGCTTCCATTAAGTTAAAAATTAAAGTAAAACTCATTATGAAAAGTATTCAGTAAAACTCCAAAATACTGGGCTTCCCTGGTGGCGCAGTGGTTAAGAATCCGCCTGCCAATGCAGGGGACACAGGTTGAAGCCCTGGTCCGGAAAGATCCTACATGCTGCAGAGCAACTAAGCCTGTGCGCCACAACTACTGACTCTAGAGCCCACGAGCCACAACTATTGAGCCAGCGAGCTACCTACAACTGTGGAAGCCCACGCGCCTGGAGCCCGTGCTCCGCAACAAGAGAAGCCACCGCAATGAGGAGCCCGTGCACCACAGCGAAGAGTAGCCCCCGCTTGCCGCAACTAGAGAAAGCCCCCCGCGCAGCAACGGAAGACCCGATGCAGCCAAAAATAAATAAATTAAATAAATTAAAAAACAATAATTTTTAAAACTCCAAGATACTAATACTGAGCTCTTACTTACATGATAAGCACACACTGGGCAACACACTTGCTAAGTTCAAGTATGGATTTTTACTGAGCCGAATTTCTTTCGGTGGTTCTCCCAAGAGTGAAGTCTGATTCTTAGAGGCAGCCTATTTATCAAAAACAAGAGAGTGGGTGCTTAATAAGAGGTACAAGAAAATAAAAATGCAGGAAGAGTAGAGAAATACTTGTTCTTCAATAAATCTGGTCTAGTATGATAAAAATTTGTGAAACCTAATGTTTGAAGCTATAAATCTGTGAAATATTTCTGGATACTGATTAAAATGATCACATTTCACCTGCTACTATTTTTCCAATTAGTTTTAAAAAGCTTTTCTAGAACCACAGAACTTTAGATCTGAAAGAGAACTAAAGGCCATCTTGTACAACCTTCTCATTTGAACCAGGAGAGAATTCATGTTCACAAGAAGAAACAAATCCCATACCTTATTTTCAGAAATACTATCATCAACGTTTACTTATTAAAATATTTACTTAATATTTGGCCACAGCCATATGACAAAGGCAAAGTTTATTTATCTCTGGTATTAAAAATAATACCAAATAAAATAAATGGATTTACTAAAATCCAATTCAACATTTAGATGATAACCCTAGAAATTCATATTTATTGAAAATATATGATATCAGTATATATATATACTTAAAATAAACTTATTTATTTATTTATTTATTGCCGCATTGGGTCTTCGTTGCTGCACGCAGGCTTTCTCTAGTTGTGGCATGTGGGATCTTCCCGGACCAGGGCTCGAACCCATGTCTCCTGCACTGGCAGGCGGATTCCTTAAGAATCTACCAGGGAAGTCCTGATATCAGTATATTTTTATATAACTAGGTGTAAGGGTTCTAGTATTTCTTTACCAGAAAAATGAGACAAAACCATGGGCTGATTCTTCAGTATATTTCATATTATTCTGTCAGAATTTTTACTTTTCACTCTAGGATGGTAAAGATTTTAAAATAAGACACAATTCAGGTTGGTTAATGCTAGTAGCTATGTTTTCTTTTAAATTAATTTTTATTTTGTTCCCTGAACAGAATGAAGAAAGCATAATCTCAAGAGCTTCTTTCTATATTTGAGAGCCAAAGCTCCTTACATTTGTTCCTTATCTGGCCAATATTATTGTATTTAGACAGAGGAAGCTGTTTCGTACATCTTCATAAGCCACCCCAAAAGTCCACATTTGCTTGTGATATGTAAATCACAGATGAAGAGGTATTCATTCATTCATATGTGTATACTGAATACTTACTATGCTCTAGGCATTGTGGTAAGCATTGGTAATACTAAAATGGGTAAGACGGGCACTATCCTTAAGAAATTCAGTCTAGTAGATAAGATAGTTCAAGAGAAGTCTAAGATGGAACCATAAGGTTACAAATGGGAGCTAAAACCATAAGATATATGCCAAAGGAAAGCATATAGCATGAGAAAGGACAGAACCCTAGAGAAAATCCAGTGATTGAGTAAAGGAAAGGTAGCCAGCAAAGAAGTTTCTGATTTTGTTTCTAAAGTACTCAAACTGCTAAAGTAATCAGATTATATCCATAGCAGGGATTCTCAGCTCTAGCTATGCATGAGAATCACTTTAAAAACTCAATAAATAAATAAATAAATAAATACAGAGTCTCTCAACAAAGAAAAGTCATGGACCAAATGGCTTCACTGGAGAATTCTACCAAGTTCTACAAGAAATTAACATCAACCCTTCTCAAACTCTTCCACAAAATTGAAGAGAGAACACCTCCTAACTCATTCTATGAGACCAGTATTACACTGGTACCAAAGCCAGAAAGACACTACAAGAAAACTACAAAACAATATCCCTTATGAATATTGATGCAAAAATCATCAACAAAATACTAGTAAACCAAATTTGGCACATTATTAAAAGGATTATACACCATAACCAAGTGGGATTTCTTCCTAGAACGCAAGAATGATTCAACATACAAAAATCATTCAGTGTAATATACCCCACTAACAGATTGAAGGAAGAAATGCATGATCATCTCAATTAATGCAAAAAAAGCATTTGACAAAATTCAACACACTTTCATGATTAAAATTAAACACTTTCAACAAACAACTAATAGAAGGAAACTACCCTAACATAACAAAAAGCCAACATTATACTCAATGGTGATCTTGTTCTAAGATCAAGAAAAAGCAAATATACCTGCTTTCACAACGTCTGTTCGATATAGCATTGGAAGTTCTAGCCAGAGCAATTAGGCAGGAAAAAGAAAACTAAAAAGCTTTCAAACTGAAAAGGAGGAAGTAACATTAGTTCTCTTTGCAGGTGACATGAAAATCCTAAAGTTTACATACACACACACGCACAAAACATTAGAACTAATAAAAGAATTTAGCAAAGTCGCAGGACATAAAATCAACATGCAAAAATCAGTTGTGTTTCTATACACTAATAATGAACAATCCAAAAGGAAAATTTTTTAAATTTCCACTTACAATAGCATCAAAAAGAATAAAGTAATTAGGAATTAACTGAACCAAGGAGGAGAAATACTTGTACACTTAAACCTACAAAACATTGCTGAAAGAAACTAAAGACATAAATAAATGAAAAGACATCCCATGTTCATGTATTGGAAGATTTAATATTGTTTAAATGTCAATACTAACCAAAGTGATCTACAAATTCAATATAATCTCTATCAAAATTCTAACTTTTTTGGGCAGAAATAGAAAACTCCACCCTAAAATTGATATGAAATATCAAGGAACCCCAAACAGTCAAAACAATACTGAAAAAGATGAACAATAATGGAAGGCTCATACTTTCCAATTTTCAAGCTTACTACACAGCTACAGTAGTCTCAACAGTATGGTACTGGCATAAAGACAAACATAAAGACCAACAGAATAGGATAGAGAGCCCAGAAACAAATTACTGCATATATAGTTAAATAATTTTCAATAAGTGTCAAAACTATACAATGGGGATAGGCAGTCTTTTCAACAAAAAAATGATGGGAATTCTGGATAGCCACATAAAAGAATGAAGTGGATCCTTACCTAACACCACATACAAAAATGAACTCAAAATGGATCAAAGTCTTAGTTGTAAGAGCTAAAACTATAAAAGTCTTAAAAGAAAAGCTTAGGTGAAAAGATTCATAACACTGGATTTGGTGATCATTTCTTGGAGATGACATCAAAAACAGAAGCAAAAAAAAAAAAGAAGATCATAGGTAGGGCCACAAAACAAGTCTTAACAAATTTAAGAGTACTGAAATCATATCAAGGATTGTTCTGACTATAATGGTATGAAACCAGGAATCAATACTAAGAGGAAAATTGGAAAATTCACAGATATGTAGAAATTAAATAACACACTCTCGAACAACAAAGAAGTCAAAGAAGAAATCAAAAGAGACATCAGAAAGCATCTTGAGACAAATGAAAATGGAAACACAACATACCAAAACTTATGGGCTGCAGAAAAAGCATCTTAAAAGGGAAGTTTATAGCAATAAATGTCTACGTGAAGAAAAAAGAAAGACCTCAAAGAAACAATTTAACTTTACACCTCAAGTTACTAGCAAAAGAAGAACAAACCAAGCCCAAAATTAGCAGAAGAAAGGAAATAATAAAGATTAGAGCAGGGCTTCCCTGGTGGCGCAGTGGTTGAGAGTCCGCCTGCCAATGCAGGGGACACGGGTTCGTGCCCCGGTCCGGGAGGATCCCACATGCCGCGGAGCGGCTGGGCCCGTGAGCCATGGCCGCTGAGCCTGCGCGTCCAGAGCCTGTGCTCCGCAACAGGAGAGGCCACAACAGTGAGAGGCCCACGTACTACAAAAAAAAAAAAAAAAATCCTTAACAGAATACTAGCAACCCTAAATGAAATACTGGCAACCTGAACTTGACAACACATTAAAAGGATTGTACTCTGTGATCAGGTGGGATTTATCCCTGGGATGCAAGGATGGCTCAACACAGGCCAATCAATAAATGTGATACACCACATTAACAGAATAAAGGATAAAACCATATGACTGTCTCAATAGATGTAAAAAACACCTTGGACAAAATTCAACATCATTTCATGATCAAAACTCTCAACAAACTGGGCATAGAGGAAATCTATATACCTCAACATAATAAAAGCCATATATAAAGGACATGCCCACAGCTAACATCATAGCTTTTCCTCTAAGATCAGGAAAAGGACAAGGATGCCCACTCTCACCACTTTTATTAAACATAGTATTGGAAGTCCTAGCCAGAGCAATTTGGCAAGAAAAAAGAAATAAAAGGCATCTAAATCAAAAAGGGAGAAATTGAACCATCTCTGTTTGCATCTGTTGCATTTCTATATACTAACAATGAACTATTAAAAAAGAAATTAAGAAAACAATCCCAGTTATAATACTACCAAAAAGACTAAAATACTTAGGAATAAATTTAGCCATTAGGAATAAATTTAGCCAAGGAGGTGACAGAACTGTATACTGAAAATTATATGACATTGATAAAAGAAATCAAAAATTACACAAATAACTGGAAAGATATCCTGGGTTCATGGATTAGAAGAATTAATATTGTTAAAATGTCCACACTGCCTAAAGCGATCTACAGATTCAATGCAATCCCTATCAAGATTTCAATGGCACTTTTCACAGAAATAGAACGAACAATCCTAAAATTTATGTGGAACCACAAAAGATCCTGAATAGCTAAAGCAATCTTGAGAAGAAGTTCAAAGCGGAGGCATCACACTTCCTGGTTCCAAACTACATTACAAAGCCATAGTCATCAAAACAGTTATGGTACTTGCATAAAAACAGACACACTGACCTATGAAAAGAATAGAGCCCCAAAATAAAGCCATATATATGTGGTCAACTAGTATTTGAAAAGGGTGCCAAGAATACACAATGGGTAAAGGACACTCTCTTTAATAAATGGGTGTTGGGAAAACTGTATGTCCATATGGAAAAAAATGAGACTGGATCCTGATCTTACACCACACACAAATATTTACTCAAACTGGATTAAAGACTGAAATATAAGACCTGAAACCATAAAACTAGAAGAAAATATAGGGGAAAAGCTACTTGACATTGGTCTTAGCAATCATTTTTTGGATATGACACCAAAAGCACAGACAACAAAAGCAAAAATAAGCAAGAGCTAAAAAGCTAAACTAAACAAAAGAGCTCCTCTACAGCAAAATTAAAAGGCATCTTATGGAATGGGAGAACATATTTGCAAACCATATATCTGAGAAGGGGTTAATATCCAAAATATATTCAGGAACTCATATGACTCAATAGCAAAGAAAACAAATAACCCAATTAAAAAATAGCAAAGAATCTGAATAGACATTTTCGCAAAGAAGATATACAGGTGACCAATAGGCATATGAAGAGGTTCTTAACATCACTAATCATTGGGGAAATACAAATCCAAAACCACAATGAGATACGATGTTGGTGAGGATGTGGAGAATTGGAACCCTCGTGCTTTGCTGGTGGAAATGAAAAATGGTACAGCTGCTGTGGAAAACAGAACGGCAGTTCCTCAGAAAATAAGATATAGATGTACCATATGATTCAGTTATTCCACTTCTGGGTAAGTACCCCAAAGAACTGATAACAGGGACTCTAACAGATATTTGTATATAGCAGCATTTTTCACGAGAGCCCAAAGATGGAAACAACCCAAATGTCCATCAATGGACAAATGGAAAAAGAAAATGTAGTCTAGGTACTTCCCTGGTGGTGCAGTGGTTAAGAATCCACCTGCCAATGCAGGGGACACGGGTTTGAGCCCTGGTCCGGGAAGATCCCACATGCCACAGAGCAACTAAGCCAGTGTGCCACAACTACTGAGCCTGCGCTCTAGAGCCTGTGAGCCACAACTACTGAGCCCGTGTGCCACAACTACTGAAGCCCGTGCATCTAGAGCCCATGCTCCGCAACAAGAGAAGCCACTCCAATGAGAAGCCCGCACACCGCAACGAAGAGTAGCCACCACTCGCCGCAACTAGAGAAAGCCTGTGGGCAGCAACAAAGACCCAACACAGCCAAAAATAAATAAATAAAAGAATTTTTTTAATGTAGTCTATAAATACAATAGAATATTATTCAGCCTTTAAAAAAAGGAAATTCCAATACATGCTATAACGTGGATGACCCTTGAAGACACTATGGTGATGGAAATAAGTCAGACACAAAGGACAAAAATTGTATCATTCCACTTACTTTGGGTACCTAGAATAGTCAAATTCTAAGACAGAAATTAAACAGTGTTTACTGGAGGCTGGGGAGCAGGGAAAATGGAGAGTTGTTGAATGGGTACAGAGCTGCAATATGGGATGATGAAAAAGTTCTGGAGAGGGATAGTAGTGATAGTTGCAAAACAATGTGAATGTACTTAATGCCACTGAGTTGTACACTTAAAATTCAGATCTCACCCCTATCTCTCTGAATCAGATTCTCAGGGCTGAGGAAGTTAGAGTCCAGCCCTCTCCATCTTTTTTCTTTTTTTTTTTTTTTTTTAACTCCAGTGGTGATTCTGACAAAGAGACAGAATCAAGAATCACTGGTCAACATAATATTAAAGATGCAGGCCTAAAAATCTACAGCCGAGTTTAACCAACTGTTTAACAAAGTCCAAAATCTTGCTACATACTTGGAAAACATACTTTGAGGTTACCTGGTCCAAGCCCCTATTGTCAGGAAAGAAGAATCACTTCTACAACAATCTGTACAGATGTTCACCTGGGGTCTGCATAATCATTTTCAGTGATATGACATTCACATCTTTGTGAAAGTGTCAAACTTTTTCTTTCTTTAAAAACTTCAACTGTTCTTTGTTATATTAAGCCTAAATCTGCTTTATTGTGTCATACTTATCGGACTAATTCTGCCCACTAGCGAAACATAAAATACCATGTGACTAGACTAGTCTGTAAATTTTTTTTTTTTAACGTCAAATTAAATGTCAGCTGGTCAACCCTTGCCAAGTTCCAGGTATCTATTTCCTTCAATTCTTCTTCACGGGATTTGTTTTCCAGGCCCTTCCCCACTTCACCTGTCTTCTTCCAGATACACTCTCATTTGCCCATTATGTGAATCACCTCAAGTCCAGTTTTTCTAAAGACCTCAGTGCTTTCAATGAATTAAAAAGTCTGTGCAAAAAGATACAGACTATTCATATATGAGTTTTATTTAACTTCCCTCAATAACTTACGCAATTAACCCTGCAGATAAATTTTTAAAATTCATTCTATGAAGAACCACCTTAGCTTCCTCAATGTATAATTATAGGCATTCTATCCATACCTCCTGCCATGACTAGGTGACACCAAAACCTCTTACAAAGTCAATATTATTATTTTGATATTTGAATATAGCCAACTACAAGAATTGTTTCCTCACATGCCACTTCTAATCCAAAGGGTATTCTAGGGTACAAGTAAAAAAAATTAAATGTACTTTATTCTACCTACCAATTGTAACATTTACAAATATAAGTGGTTTATAAACCAATAAAATTTGGGGTAAAAACCAAGAATTAAAACCAAGAATTAAAACCAAGATTAGATTCTTTTGAACAGACCAGAGATTAATAACTGGCTTTGAAATTTTTCAGATAAAATAGAATTTATTCTACCTTTCAATATTAAAATAATACTTAATTAGCTACAGAATATACATTTTAGAAAAAATTAGTATATTTTAAAGAACAGCATTACTATTTACTAAGAAATCCTTATAAATAATATCATTATATAATTGGATAAGTATTAATGGTACTACTACACTTTTCCAAACTACAAAATTTTGAACTTATATTCCTTTATATTTATACATGCATATCTCAAAGTTTTTAGAAAAGCAAATGTTTATAGGAATAAAGAATTCATATTTAAATATTTTATAATAACAGATTTTAAAAACATTTTATAAAAGTTAAATTATTTTATTTACAGACAAACTGGCAAGTAATTAAGCAGAATCCCAAACATCATTTGGCATAACTTATCAAAGGATGGATTTTTGTTTGTTTATAATGACAGGTTTTGTTTTTTTTTAGAGTCCAATATTTTCTCCTCTTTTGAGAAGTAAATGTACAGTATGAAAAAGCCTTCATGTCATTGACATATTATAGGAATTATCTAGTTTATAATCCATATTTATATACTTTAAGTATATTATCAACTTCCTTTGAAATTCAAAAATAGTTAAGATTGCTTGATACTTCATAAATTATACCACCTGTAAAATAACCAAAAATTAGATTACTCTCGAATTAGAATAATTTCATTTAAGATATAGTTTAAAAGGAATATATATATATATTCCTTTGTAGTATATACATAATGTAGTATACACATATATACTTCATGTATATACATGTGTGCATTTATATGTATGTGTATGCATGCATGCACACACTCACGCACACACACACACACACACACACACACACACACAGTTTTCTTACCCCTGAACTTATCTCCAGGCCTTTTGGCTGACTTTGTTGTTGTTTATGATGTCCCGTGAGCAAGCCTCCAGCAGTAAGGTTTGGAAAGCTCTGAAGATAAGCCTGTGACCCTGAGAAATTTCCTTCTGCCATCCCCACCAAGGCTGGCTGTTTCTCCTGAGTGTTCCCGTGCCCTGGCCCAGCCTGTCCAGCAATGTGCTGATTTGGAAGGAATGGTAACATGCCCATGCCAGCTGTTATAGTTGTTTGAGGTGGAATCAAATTAGATGCTGTAGTGAACCACAAATGCAAATAGTTTTTGGTTAGATGAGGCTTATTCACAATAGTCCTTTTGATTTTGTCAAGTTATGGACAGAATGTGCAGAAACCTATTTTTTTACCTATTAGAGAATAGTTAAAATACAAAAGGTGAGGTTAAAGGTTATAAATTAGCAGCCTCCTGTATGGAAAAACAAAAACCTCTAATAGTAATCATGCTTTTCCTATTTTCAACAACTTCCTGGATAATCTCAAGGATATTATATTTTTTAGTTCCAAGTTTTAACTGTACATTTTAGAAGGTGAGAGCAAAATTTATATACTTTTTGGCACTTAAGTTATATCAGTGCCTTTTTTTTTATGCCCAGTCACTGGAATTTGCCTGCTTTCATATTTGAAGGGAATAATTAACTAAGCCTTCAGTTAAAAAAAGTCTCTGACACTCAAAAATTAATAAAGTTACATTAAACCCAACAATACATTTAGTCAGCCAGGTTGCACCAGCTCGTAAGAGTCAACTGTGCTATCTCTTCCCGGATCTTGAGTTCAACGTCTTTGCATGGGTAACCTGAAATCAGCCATGGTTGGACTGTTTACACACAGAAATCCACAAATGCTACAAATCAAGACTTTTTTTTAACCCAGAGAGCTGGTTTTTAAACACCAGCACACCACTGGTTTAAAAAAACATCAATATTTATGAGTAGCTAAGCACCAAATGAAAGTTTAACACATTAAAGTTTTACATTTTTATTTACAGGGAGTAACAAGAAATTCTGGAAGAAATAAAAATAGGAAAATCCTGAACCATTCCATTTTTTAAAACTCTATAGGGCAAAACTAAATGAAAAGAGCTGGTTTTGACAACTATCTTAATTAAATCAAAGTTATATTTTACAAATTCACTAAACAAATTTCTTAAATTATTTTTAGTACTAACTATTTAGAGATAGATTCTCAATTCTATCTTTTAGCAATATATTGATCTGGACACTTTGAATTTTCAGTGTTCTTAAAGCAGCAGTGCTAAAGCAAATGGCTATTTAATCCAACGCAAATTATATATAAATATCTGTATAAGCTTCTAGGCATACAACATTTAATTTTTAGGACAGACTCTATCACACTATAAAAATTTCTATAGCTGTCTGTGTACTGGTTTAACTTTTGCCCAGTCAATTCCAATAGTCTGAATTGATTATTTGACCATTTGACTTGGTTTTATGTACAAGAGGCTAAACATGCTACCCATATTTAACTGACTTGGTTTTTTTTCTTTTTTATCACTGGTGGACTTTCTCTTTTTTCCCCTCAGCATGCTCACTTCCAACAAATTTCAGTTAAACTTCAAATTGAAAGTGTCTTTCAAAATCACATAAGCCATCCTGGTATACTACCATCTATTATTCTGAAAAGAAAAATAATTGTTCTGTTCAAATTTGTTATATTTTAGAAGCACATAATACACATTTTTTTTTTTACTACTAATTTGGAGCTCACATTTTAGAAAATGATACAAATAAACAATCAAACTTTAAATTTATCATTACCAGATATTTCTTAATAAAGCTAAGGGTTTCTTATCCAGGCAAAAATTAAATGGATCCCTATGTAATGTGCTGTCAGCCCAGTGGGCAGCATGTCAGTCTCAAATAGATCTATGTCTCTGCCTCATGCTGCTGTGAACCTTCATCAAATATTAAAGCATATCCAACAGAGAAAGTCTTATCTTGGCATAGAAGCAAGTCCATCAATAAATAACTACCAATAGTATTCTAATATTAAAAATAGAAAAGCCAAGAGGGCTCTTGAAATTTTAAATGACTGAATAAAACTCACATCTGACCTTCCTGTAAATAAAAGTAGAATACAGGTACACTATCTTTAAATCTCAAATCTGACTGTTTACTGACGTCTCAGCAAATACACATAATTTACTTTTATGTGTTTCTCCAAGATGGCCCAACTCTGTTTTCAACGGAAGCGGTGACCCTATCCCTACTGCAGCTTGAAGTACCATAGCTGGGGGTTCTCCAAGTAAGCCTGGTTTCTGCAAAAGAAGAGAAGACAAGACTTTTGCTCATGGCAGCAAGACATAACCTAATAAAAAAGCTACACATGTGAAAATTCATGAACAATCTGACCAACAGCCTGATTATAGAAAAGGAATGAACTCATTTCAAATGAAGAAAGTAATTCCATACTTACATTATTAGTATGAATATTCTCAAATTTCATTAATTGTTGCTGTGCCAGTGGTACATGAGAAAGATTCTGAAGAAATAAATTAGAAGTATTACCCATAAGTGAGCTCTGTGAAAATGATAAAACATTAAGTTAGTTTAATTTTGAAGAGCTACTTGTGTAATTCATTTTAAAGTTCAATTCCTGAGTTGATCTGAGCAAAAGCAACAGCTTCTTAATATTCTACTTTCTAATTACTGGCAACACTCATTAATTCTTTCAATAATACACAAGATGTGACCATACAGTCATGAAACTAATTCCATATCCCTTCCTTCTTTTCTTCCATCTTTCCTCCCCTCCCCTCACCCCTTTCTGGCTTTGATGTCAGTATCACTCAATCATTTATTTATTCATTTAATCATTCAACAAATATTTATTGAGCACTTCTATGTGCCAGGCACTGTGCTACAATATGGTCTGCCCTCATGGATCTTATAGTCCCCTGAGGAGGGGAGACATTAATTAATTATAAAAACATACAATTAAAAATGGCAATGAGTGTATGAAGGAAAAATACAAGGAGCTATGGAAACAAACAGTGGTGGAACTTGATTTAGATTGGTAAATTCAAGGAAGGTTTCCCTGAGGAACTAACTCTTGCACAGAGATCTGAAGGCTGTGGAGAAATAACTAGGTGAAGTCTGGGGGAACGAGGGGGTGCTGCGGTGGGAAGTATTCCAGGTAGAAGAACAGCAGGAGCAAAGACCTAAGGAGAAGAGAAGAAAGCCCTTCACGGACCACAAGCAGTTCACCAGAGCTGGGACAGTGACACCTAAGGCATAGGAGAGGCGGGAGAGGCCAGCTTAGACAGGCCCTCAAGGCAAAATTAAGCAGTTGGTCTTTATTTTAAAGTAAAGGGAATATTGCCAATACTCTGGTCTCCCCTCCCATATCACTTTAAACCTTATTGTAATTAACTGTTTAATGCTTGTTTTCTCTATTTGTTGAAATTCTATAAGAATAAGGACTGTGAATATTCTGTTCAATGCTATAGCCTCAATGGCTAGCAGAGTGTCTAGTACATGTTAGATTTTCAATAAAATATGTTGAGTAAATGAATGGAAAATGTACAGGTCATATGTTAGATTCTAAGAATGAAAAATAAACAAATAAGCCTTTTCCTTAAAAAGCTGCGTTTAGGAACAGACATTCATTCATTCAACCTATAACAACCCATTTATCATGTGTTAGGTTTGATTTGTAATTAGGCTTCTATATAGATATAGCCTTAAACAGTACCTGAAATTAGTAGGTAATATTTATCTCCAATATTACGGATATTTATGTACACAAACATAGTTTAAAATACTTATCTGAAAAAGGTAAGAAAAAAAATTTTTACTCTCATAAATATATAAATTATTTCTATAACATTGATTAAATTTTAAGAATTAAGAGTTATTATTCATTTATTTTTCTTTCTGTAAATACTTTTTTGAGTTAAGACCACATAAAACTTGTTTTGAGCTACTGAGTTATTTCTAGAAAAATATACCACAAAATATACCTCTTCCCTTCTTAATACCCTACAAATAGGAACCAATAAATATATAAACTATGATGCTTTGATTACCTTAATTTGATCTGATTTCCTTATTAAGTTCTGTTTTTAGGTAGGTACACTTATTACTCAGAATTTTATTTGAAAACAAAATACTCATTTAACTCCTTGAGAACTTTAAGTGTAAAGAACAAACAAAATATTCACTCCAAATGTCTGATGCTTCAGTACTCGATGCTATTTATATACCTGATGTGCTTTATTCAAATGTAAAAATGCAGGGGAGATGGATGGATTCATCAGATGTGGCAAGCTGTGAGGTGTTCCAAGAACTGCTTTAAGAAAATAAAAGTAAAAATTTAACTTTATGATATCTATGGAATTCAAAAATAAATAAAACAAACTCCAAAAAGGGTAAATGAATATTTCTTTAAACTTTTAACATATGTGGTGGAAGTTCAATGTATACTGACCTTGTCATCGTACAAAAAGTGACAGGCTCCTTTCCTTGTGATTCAACTCTAGAATTTGATTTTAAATTCCAACACCTTCTGTCTTAATGGAAAAACACCAAACCTAGCCTTTCTCTTCTCTGGCACTTAATGCAAGAAAACTAATTCCACCTTTTAATAAGTATAATACTAATTGAACCCATGTTATTTGCTCAGTACTTTTGTTAGTTTTTTTTGGGTATTCTGGCAGTGGGTCAGGTGGGAGGGGAAGAACAATATACAGTCCTTGTCGTTAAAGCTTATAATCCAATTGAGAAGAGAATATGTACATTTAAAGATATTTCATAAAAAACCTACAGAAACAACGATACTGTATATAGTTGATAAAAGGAATAAATGATAACCATACTCTTTATCAAGTTTGTCTAAGAGTACAAATACCAGGGTACATATCAGAAGAGATATTTTAAGAACATACAATATACAGACAAAAAGAACCATGAGATAGAAAATATATGAAGCAATTCATCTAATTATTAGATGTAAACTGTCATAATATACAGCTAATTAGAATCATAGAAGGTCAGGCTTAGAAAGTACTTCAAAAAACACGTAATCCAATGATCAAACGTATCTGAAATTTATACATAACACTGCTACAAGTTCATTCATGCTTTAAAAACTTTGTTCCAAATTTTTGTTTCTTGCGGAGGCAGTCCATTACGTCTTTGGAAAACTGACCATTACAAAGCACTTTCTTTAGAATGAACCAGTTTCAATGATAGATGATGGGAAGATTAGATCATTAGGGTAAGTTGCTTATAAAGGAAAATACTGTTTATTAGGAAAGAGTGGTAAAGATCGTCATTTCATAATGATTAAGGGGTCAATTCATCAATTAGGATGCAACAATCTTAAATGTCTGTGGACCAAATGACAAAGCTTCAAAATATATGAAGCAAAAACTTCTAGAACTGAAAGGAAAAGTAGACAAATCTACAATTATGGTTAGAGATTTCAGTGCCACTTCCTCCCATTTTTCAGACAGTCACTGTATTTTGTTATTAAACATTAAAATATTTTTTCACAGCTTTTAGTGAATATAGTATTTCCCAGTTTAAAACAACAACCAGAATTAAAACATTCTGAAAATGTCCACAGTCTCACATCTAACTGCCCTTACCCTTAGATTTTGGCTAGGTCTCCCATTGAGCCTCTTGCTCCCCTCAATAATTGATAGCATAAGTGGACTGAAAACCAGTAAGGATATAGGAGACTTGAACAACACTATCAACCTAAAATTTATATACAAAGTATTATGAAGCTGAGACGAAGTGACAGAGTGGCATGGACTTATATATACTACCAAATGTAAAATAGATAGCTAGTGGGAAGCAGCTGCATAGCACAGGGAGATCAGCTCGGTGCTTTGTGACCACCCAGACGGGTGGGATAGGGAGGGTGGGAGGGAGACGCAAGAGGGAGGAGATATGGGGATGTATGTATCTGTATAGCTGATTCACTTTGTTATAAAGCAGGAACTAACACACCATTCTAAAGCAATTATACTCTAGTAAAGATGTTTAAAAAAAAAAACGGATTTGCAAGGCAGAAATAGAGACACAGACGTGGAGAACAAACATATGGACACCAAGGGGGGAAAGCGGAGCAGTGGGGGTAGTGGAGGTGGTGGTGGGACGAATTGGGAGATTGGGATTGGCATATATACACTAATATATATAAAATAGATAACTCATAAGAACCTGCTGTATAAGAAAATAGTCTTAAAAAAAAAAAAGAAAAGAACACTGATGTTCATGGTCAAAAAAAAAAAAGGATTATAGTATGTCATGACCAGGTGTGGCTTACTGTAGGAGTGAAAGATTGGTTTAACATTCAAAAATCAATCAATATAATTCATCATGATAACAGACCAGAAATAAAAAAGCCACATTGATGATATCAATAAATGGAGAAAAGCATTATATAAATCCCAGCAATTATCATGATAAAATATCTCAGCAATATAAAAATAGAAGAAAAATTTCCCAGCTTGAAAAAGAAAATCTGTGAATAAAAAACTATAGCTAACATAATGCTTAATAATAAAAGAATGAATGCTTTCTCTGTAAGATCAGGAACAAGGCAAGGATGTCCACTCTCATCAGTTCAATGCACAAATTTTTCAGGAATTTCTATCAACTGCAATAAAGCAAGAAAATAAAATAAAAGGTATACATATTGTAAAGAAAGAAGTAAACCTGTGTTTATTTGTAGATGACATGATTGCCTATACAGAAAATCCTAAGGGCAATACCTACTATTGATAGAAATAGAAAGCAAGACTGCAAGATACAAGATAAATAGACAAAATCAATTGTACTTGTATATGCTAGCAACAAGCAGTAGGAAATTGAAATTTAAAAAGTAATACTATTTAAAATAGTATCAAGAATATATAAAGAACTCAGCAACAAAAAGACACACAACCCTGTTTAAAAATGGGCAAAGAACTTGATTAAGCATTTCTCCAAAAGAAGACACAAAAATAGACAACAAGCACAAGAAAAGATGCTCAACATAATTAGTCATTAGGGAAATTCAAGTCAAAACCATATTGAGTTGCCAGTTGATTCCTATTTGGATGGCTAAAATTAATAATAATTTTAAAAACCCAGAAAGTAACAAGAGTCTATAAAGTTATGGAGAAATTGGAACCCTCATACATTGCTTTGGGAATGTAAAATGGTGCAGCCACTGTGGAAAACAGCCTGGCAGCTCCTTAACAAGTTAAACATAGAATAACCATATGACCCACCAATTCTAGTTCGAGGAATATAACCCCAAAGAACTGAAAACAAATGTTCCAATGCTTGTACATGAATATTCACAGCAACACTCTTCACAAGAGTCGAAAAGTGAAAACAACTCAAATGTCCATCAATGCTATGTGCATACGATGGAATATTACTCAGCCAAAAAAAGGAATGAAGTACTGATACATATTACAGTACTCAGAAACATCATGCTAAGTGAAAGAAGCCAGACACCAAAAGTCACATAACGACTTCTGTTTATATGAAACATGCAGACTAAGCAAAAGTGTAAAGACAGAAAGCGGATTGGTTGTTGCCAGGGCCTGGACAGAGGAGGAAATGGGAAGTCACTGTTTCATGGGTCTGGATTTTATTTTGAGATAATGAAAATGTTTGAAAGTAGGCAGAGTTGGTGATTACACAACATTGTGAAGGTACCAAATGCCACTGAATTACTGACTCTGAATTCTGCCTCAGAAAATCACTGCAATAAAAAAATAGTATCGAGGAACATGAAATGCTATGGATAAATCTGAAAAAATACGTGTAAGATTTATACCCTGAAAACTACAAAATATTGCTGGGAGAAATTAAAGAAGACCTAAATAAACGGAGAGATATACCGCACTTATGGCAAATTGTTGTCAGTTCTGCACAGATTAGCATACAGATTCAACACAATTCCAATCAAATTTCCAGCAGACGTTTTTCATAGAAATTGACAGCTGATTCTAAAATTTATATGCAAATACAAAGGACCTAGGATCGGCAAAACAAAGAGAAAAAGAACAGAGTTGAAGGACTTACACTAACTGATTTCAGGACTTATTATAAAACTGTATATAATGAAGACAATGTAGCATTGATATAAAGGCAGACATTTAGATCAATGGAATAGAAACAGAGTCCAGAGATAGAGCCATATACATACGGTCAATTGATTTTTGAAAAAAGTGTCAAGAAATTCAATGAAAAAAGATAATCTTTTTTAACAAATGATGCTGGAACAACTGTAAAAAAAAATTAACCTGGACCTTTACCTCATATCATAAATAACAATTAACTTGAAATCATTCATCAACCTAAACTTAAGAGGTAAAATTATAAAACTTCTTAAGAAAATATATACGAACATCTTACTGACCTTGAATTTGGCAAAGATTTCTTAAATATGACACAAGAAGTATGAATTATAAAACAAAAAATAATAAACTGGACATTGTCAAAATAAAAAATTTTGCTCTTCAAAAGATATTGTTAAGAAAATAAAAGGACAACCTACAGAGTGGTTGCAAACCCATATATCCAATAAAGCACTTGTATCTAGGATAAAAAACCCCAACAACTTAATAAGAAGATAAACAACCTAATTTTAAAATGTACAAAATATCTTAAAAGATATATTAACAAAGAAGGTATAAAGATGGCAAATTAGTACATTAAAAGATGTTCAAAATCATTTGTCAAAAGGAATATTCAAATTAAAACCACAATGAGACAGCACGATAAACCAAATAGAAAGACTAAAATTAAAGGATCAACATATCAAATGTTGGTGAGGATACTGAACGAACTAGAGCCCTGGACACTGATGGTGAGAATGTAAAATGGTTCAACCACATTAGAAAAGAGTTGGAAGAGTGTCTTACAACTTAAACATACATCCACCATATAACCCAGCCATTCTACAACTATGTCTTTATCCAAGAGAAATGAAAGCATAAGTCTACATAAAGATTAGAAGCAAATCTTCACAGCAATTTTATCTGTAATGACCCCGAACAGGAAATAACCCAATGTTCAACAAATCAATGAAAATGGAAATTGTAGAACTGAATACTACTCAGCATTAAAAACGAAAAAAAAAAACTATTGATACATGCAGCAACGTGGATGAATCTCAAAATAATAAGCTGAGGGAAAGAAGCCATACAGTACATACTGTGTGACTCCATTTATATAAATTTCTAGAAAATACAAACTATAGTGACAGAAAGCAAATTAGTAGTTTCCTGGGGATGGGGGGAGGGGTTACAAAGAGACAAAAGGAAAGTTTTGAGAGTAATGAATATGTTCATTATTTGGATTATGGCGATAGTTTCATGGGTTATACATGTGTTAAATCTTACCAATTTGTACAACTTAAATATGTGCAGATGAATGTGCCACAGTTATACCTCAAGAAAGCTGTTAAACATACAATTTAGATTCTAAGTAATTATATACTAGTTAAACTTTAAAACAGACACACACACAAGGACAGAGAGAAGAAATCTACAATATTTACACTATACTGTATTTTCTTAAGGTATTTAGAAGGTCTGGATTGAAGAGAAAAGATCAGTATGCTTCAAGTAACATAAAGTAGGCATAGGAGGAAAATCGACCTGACGGCCGTGCATAAGTAGGTGTAGGAGGAAAATCAACCTGATGGTCGTGCACAGATTAGATCAGACAGAAAAGAAGGCAGACCAGAAAAGTAGTTAAAAGTTTACAGACTAGATCATATATAACAAGGTATGTACAAGTTGTGCAACAGACAGATTAAGGAAGGAGTTTAATCAGTAAACAATATCTAAGTACTTTTCACTCTAAGTAGCAGTTCTGTCCTGGATGCCTGAGATGAACCAAACAGATAAATCTTTGCCATTGTGGAGCCTCCTCTAGTCTAGGGGAAGAGAAGGCAATAAACAACTAGATATGTGTCAGTTACTGGAAAAAATGATACAGTGAGAAAGAAGTTTGGGCAAGGGTTTAAATACAAATATATCATACAGGCATACTTCAGGTTTGGTTCCAGGCCACTCCAATAAAGTGATTATTGCAGTAAAGCAAGTCACACAATTATTTTAGTTTCCTGGTGCATGTAAAAGTTATGTTTATGCTATCCTGTAGTTTATTAAGTGTGCAATAGCATTATGTCTATAAAACAATGTATATACCTCAATTTAAAATGCTAAAAATGCTAACCATCATCTGACAAAAGCAGTGTTGCCACAAACCTTCAATTTGTAAAAACAAAAAAACACATAGCATCTGTGAAGCACAGTAAAATATGGCACACTTGCGTATATATGTATCATATAATATAAACAAATTACAGGGAATTATGATCCTTTGTAATTAGTTTGTTCAGAGGCTTCTGTGAAGAGCTCAGGATATAGTAAGGGATATAGTTAAGATTTAGTAAAAAAAACATAGTAAAGGAAAAACAAATGAAATTTATTGATTAACAAGAGCTTGTCTTTCCTGAACACCAAGAAACTTTCCATACACTGTCTCTTTGCATGTGTTCAGGTAAGGTATTTAACCCTCTTCACTGGCCATTCCAAACAAAGAAAAAGCTACCAGTGTAATAATGATATATCTTTCTTAAAACAGTAAAAGTAGCACTAAAATAAAAGAGCCTAATCTCATATGGTCATACACCAACCTGAGTAGAAAAGCAGAGCGGAGAATACATACCTTAGATGAAAACATGAGACAAAAATAATTTGGGGGAGAAGTTACTAAAGATAGTCCAGGTGTGAACTATACTTTCTAAGAGACACAAGAGTGTAATCTACTTCTTTAAACTCTGATACAAACTTGGACTGCATTAATAGGAATATAATGATCATAGGAAGGAAATCCCACTGCATTCTGTGCTGATTAGAACCCATCTATAGGATAATTCATGTCTGTGTACACCATATTTCAGGGCAACCCAGACAACCTAGGTATCTTTACAAGAGGACAACTTGGGCGGGGGGTGCTCTAGAGAGCGTATCCTATGACATGTTATATAAAGTCAAATACAGAGCCATAGTTTACAAAGAGAATAGAAGAGGTGTATAAAGAGAACCATACTCAATATTTTGTCATAACATATAAGGGAAAAGAATTTGAAAAAGAATATATACACACACACACATATATATATATGAATCACTGTGCTGTACACCTGAAACTAACACATTGTAAATCAATTATACTTCAATAAAAAAATAAATTGTTCTTAAAAAAGAGAACTGTTATTTGTATTTACTTTCATCTTAAAATATAAAAATATTAAGCTTTATCATTTCTTAATATATGGATTGACAAAGGTACATTCATGTAATTGACATATAAGTGATACATATACTGTATATATTGGGGCTCTACTAAAAATATACTTTACTGATAGAGTTGCATAGTCAAAAAATAAATAAAATGAGACCACTGGTCTGGAGAACAGAAGACAAAGAAAATCAAAGATGACTAAGGTTTCATGATAGCTGTCTTCAACATTAGAAGGCTTTTCTTATGGAAGAAGGAGTAGATTTATTCTGTGTTTCCTCATAGGAAGAACTAGAATAAGTGGCTAAAAGTCATAGAAATCACCATCTAATACAAGGGAAAACCTAGGAATTAAATTTGTTAAACCAGGCAAGAGCTGCTTTGGAAAATAATGAGCTGCTCTATGTTTTGAGTAGTCAAGACATACAAAGGATATCTCTATACCATTAAAATTGTAGAAGGGATATCTGACTGCATAGTAGGCTGAGCTGGACACCTCTAAAGCTACTTCCTACACAGAGATAATTGATGATTATATGAAGTACTTAATATGAACACTGTTGGTATAATAAAGAATTTAACTGGTCTTTGTCTTTGGTTCCTGGAAGGAAAACTCTAAATCCTTGGAATTTTCCCAGTGACAGGAGTGTCTTTGTTATGCTAATGAGGTGACTCAGTGTGGGCCCCTAGATGGCTTCAGGATGGGGACTGGTCATACCAGAAAGACCTACCATGTGATTAGAGGACTAGGGCTTTGAGCCATATGATATCAGCCTAACCTCCTGACTTCCAGGGAGAGGAGGGGGACTGGAGATAAGAGTTCAATAACATGGTCAGTCATGCCTACATAGCAAAACCCCAATAAAAACTCTAGATCCTGAAGTTACTGCAGCAGGGAGTTCTGGCTAATTAATACACATGTGTGCTGCAAGGCAGATGTGCTCTGATTCCATGGGGAAAGAGCATAAAAGCTCTGCAGTCAGGACCTTCCAGTCTGGAAGCCCTAAGTCTCTTGATTAGGCTATTTCTGAGTTACATCTTTTAAAACAAAACTGTAATCATAAGTGCAGTAAGTTCCCTACATACGAACCTTCAAGTTGCAAACTTTCAAAGATGCAGATGTGTGTTCAGATGTCCAATCATGTAAATTAGTTCAGTGACTGGCGTACCTTGTCACGGGTGTGCATCCTCTACAAGTGGTTGTGCTTTTGTGTACTTTACTGTACAGTACTGTATAGAATACAGTAGTACAGTATCTTTATTTCAAGCCCAGGATGTCCAGAAGCAAGCGTAAAAGCAGCAGTGACATAGCTGGTACTGCTAAGAAGTGCCAGGAATTGGAGGCCCAGAGGAAGGACGAAGAGAGACAAGAGGAAGAAGAAGTAACTGAAGAACCGAAGAGATTCACGACGCAGGAAGTGGCAAGGGGATTTTCTTTATTTGAGGAGGCAGTTAGTTTTGAGGCACAGGACCTGAACGTAGAATGGTACACAAAGGTTGCAACAGCCACTCAGAATGCAATTCAGTGCTACCGTGTCATCTATGACGAGAAAAAAAGAGCTACTGCCCAGACATCACTGGATTGTTTCTTCAAGAGGGTAGGTAGAATTGAATCCAGCAAGGAACCAGAACCTGCGCCATCAACGTCAGGCGTGAGTGAGATTGCAGCTTGCCCTCCATCTCCTATTGCTGACGATCCTTCAGCTCTACCACTTCCCACCCCCTCTCCCCACTCCAGTCAGTAACTCTTCTTGCCTGTTCACTCGATGCCAGCCCCTGTATGCCGGCTGTTGTACTGTACTACTGTGCTTTTCAAGGTACTGTACTGTAAGATTAAAAATGTTTTCTTTATTTTTCTGTGTTTGTTTTTTACGTATTATTTGTGTGAAAAGCATTATAAACCTATTAGAGTACAGTACTATATAGCCGACTACGTTAGTTGGGTACCTAGGTTAACTTTGTTGGACTTACAAACAAACTGGACTTACAAACATGCTCTTGGAATGGAACTCGTTTGTATGGGTGGGGACTTACTGTATAGTGCTTTCCTAAGTTCTGTGAGTCTAACAAATTATTGAACCTGAGGGGGTCACAGGAACCCCCAAATTTGAAGCAAGTTAGTCAGAAGTGTAGGTGACCAGGGGACCTCTGAAGTTGCGGCTGCTGTCTGAAGTAGGGGCAGACCTGTTGGGGACAAAGCCCTTACTTGTAGGATCTGTGCTAACTCTAGGTAGTTGGTGCTAGAACCGAATTGCAATATACTAGCTGGTGTTAGACCAGTTGGAGCTGAAACAGAATAAGTATATTTAATCTAAACATTTGTAATCTAAAGCTTAGTGTTGAATATAGGCATTCATTTCCTCATAATGATAAAACATACATTTTGTGTATGCACAGTTGTGCATTTCAAAAGGTAAATAAACTCTTCTCAATGAATACTAAATAGATATTTAATGTATGCCAATATTATAAAAATTTCCATAATACTTAGAAAATGATGTTTTTCTCATTTTCTAAAAAGTGGAACAATTTCACAATGAAAAAGAAAGAGCAGAGAGGAAACAGACCTTAACACTTTCCAACAAAGTAATTCTGCCAAAAATATTACGTAGAAAAGTATCATATCCTTTGTTAACATAGGCTGTAACAGTGTAGTATATTAAATATTACCTTATTAAGCCATGTGTTACCTGGTTTACAAATTCATGTCAACCAGTAACTAAACTGAAGGTTTAATATTTAATACTTATTAATAGTTAAAAAAAAAAAATCAGGAAACCCGTAAGCAGTTTGTCCCTATCAAAAACAGTCAAAACATATTTTCACCTCAGATCATTAATTAAAATAAATTATATTTTATATATTCACTGATAAATTCTAGAAAAAATAAATATTCTTGGACTAATTTAAGTGTGTTTTTCATGTAAAACAGCACAATTAACTTCATGCCAACATTCTACGTTTAATCAGCACACATGAAGTTTACCTGGTTTAACAGTTCGCCCGCAGAGCTGGGGTTGTAGAAGAACTTGTAACATGGCAGGGTTGTTTAAACTTTTCATAATTTGCACTGGATTTGGCTCTGGAAGTAAGCCCTTTTGATTACTGTGCATCTTTGATGAATACAGAAATAGAAAACATTAGAACAAGGATAAGCACAAAGATGAAACCGTAAAGGCTTTTTTCCAGAAATTCTCATTCACCTGATAAGATCTATTTTATGATAACCACAACTTATTTTATATTATATACTTGTTGTATACATTCTACCACAATTCCTAATTGTAAGATATTCTACCATACAACATACACTGAAATCCTCATAGAATGTTTCAGTTAAGTAGAAATTGGCTTTAAGAGGACTAATGATTTAGTCAGATAAATCTCTTCATACAAGTAGAAAGGTATCAGGGGAATCTGAATTTATTAACAGGGAGGTAACCTGTTGACACAGGATGAATATTTTGATACTGTAGAAGAACCTTACTACAATGTTGATCTCAAGTTTAATAATGTGGGATGCCTTACAAAGCAACATTTTTCTTATAATAACAGTCTTTAATTCATTAACTTAATCCTCTAATATGAGACAAAGATGAACTGGCCTTACATACATGTCATTGGGTAGCTTCCTAAATATATGAAGTTGTTCTCAGATTTTAAAAGCCAGCCTGATAGATGAGAATATTAATATAATGATGTAAAAGCAGAAGAAGAATGATGTAATATAATGATGTAAAATATAATGATGAAAACTATGAACTTCCAACCAGGAGAAAATGGAGAACCGACAAGGACAACTGGATTCCCTCTCTCATCCCAAGCTGTGACATTAAGAGGGAGAGGGTGATGGATTGAGAACCTGACACTAAACCCGTGAGAAATCCCTGGACAGACACAAGGTAGTGCCTCAAGAGTGTGAGAGAGGCTGGATCCACAGACAGGATAGCTTGGGGAAGGGCCTTTTAGGAAGGTCCTTGGGGAAGGGCCTTCCTCCACATCACCCCCTAGGGATCATGGCTAGGAAAAAGCAGGAAAAGGGCAGCATCAGTCCAGTGACCGCCTAGGAGCAGTGAATTAACAGCAGGGTGTTGTGCAAACTCAGAGACAGTGGGGACCATGTAACACTAGGTAGAGGCACCAAAAACTTCCTTCCCACATCCTCCAACCTTCTCTACTTCCTTCCTCCCACTGGGCAGGGTGGAAGAGTTATAATTAAGGAAGGCAGAACCTGGAAAAGAGCAGGGTTGGGAGAAGAGATTAAGAGGCTCTAAGGGGCAGGGTTGCCTGGCTGGGGTGGGAAAGGGCTGTCTGTGGTCAAGGCCAGACGGTCAAGGCAGAGGTTCTCAGCCCTAGGTTCCTGCCCGCCTTCCCTAAACCCTAGCTGAGACCAGCCTTCAGCACTCCTCCTCCATCTCCAGCCCCTCAACCTCTAAACACTCACATACAAAGAAGCCAACCGCCATACCCCCTACCAAAGGAGATATGTATCCACAGAACAAAATAACTAGGCATGGGGAGAATGTAGCCACAAAAACTAAAGGCAACAAACTGAAGCACCTATAAGAGACAAAGCAGAATTAAAGGATAGGAAATAATAAGAATGTTAACTAAACATAACAGACATCCTAAAAAAAAGATAATATATTTTTATTGGTGACATGAAACAAGGACAAGCAGTTATAAAGAACAACCAATTAGAAGTATGAAAAACACAACTGTTAGAGAAAAATAATGGCAGCCATCACTTACTATATATACTTGGCATTGTTCTAAGCATGTTACATGGATTAGATCACTTAATGCCCCAAAACAACTCTATAGGGTTCGTGTTATTACCCCCATTCTATAGGTGAGGAAACTGGAGAAACTCATAAAGCATTATTCTTAACCTCTACTCTGTGCTTTAACAGATAAGTTAAACAGTAGAATATATAAGACTGAAAAACAAAATAAGTGACCTGAAAGGTCAGGTCAAATAAACTTCCCAGAATACATGAGCAGAGGATAAAGAGGGAAATACAAACAAAGTAAAACATGGTAATGAAAAATGCAAACAAAACAAGAGAGAAAACCAAGGCAATGAAGGGACTAGAAGTCTTAACATCTATATAATAGGAGTCCCTGAAGGATTAGGCAAAAAAAGGGAATCTTTGAAGAAGTAATGGCTGAGAATTTCCCAGTATTAAAGAAAAATTAAAGACCACAAAATGAAAGGGTTCCAAATATGATATAGAAAAACACACACCTGGTTACATTTTTTTGGTGTGAAATTTAAGAACATCAAACATCCCCCCCCATACTAAAAACTTCCAGTGAGGAAGAACATATCTCAGAAAAAAAAAAAAAAAGCAGATTAATATCATCTTCACTCTCAAAGCGTCAACCCTGGATTTAAGAAGGCAGCAAATTAATATTTTCAAAGTGCTGCAGGAAAAAAACTTTGAATCTAGATTTTTATATTCAGCTAAGCTATTAAATATGGAAAAGAAATAAAAAATATTCCCAGCCATACACAGTCTAAAAAGTTTTTACTACATGAAACCCTTTCTGAAAATAAGAAATGAGAATAAATGCATGATGATATTACATGATACACAGAAATTAGGGTTTATAATATCACAGTTAATTTTAATCTTGTATACAAAAGCCAGGACCACAAAAACAAAAACATTAAGGTTGGGAATTCCCTGGTGGTCCAGTGGTTAGTACTTGGTGCTCTCACTGCCGTGGCCTGGGTTCAATCCCTGGTTGGAGAACTAAGATCCTGCAAGCCGTGCAGTGCACCCCCCCCACCAAAAAAAAAATTAAGGCAATCCTAAAGTAAAAATGTACTTTATGTACTCCCAATATGGTGGTAGGTGGGGTAGAAGGAAGAAGCAGGATGGAGTTTAGAATGAACTAAGTGGGAAGAAAGAGATACTGATCAACCTAGGGGTGTTAGTAAGTTAGGAACAATCACCAGTAGGATAAAATAGAACATCTCACTCTCGAAGCAGAAGAAGAAAATTCTAATTTATCCAATAGTAGATGGGAAATGAAAACAAAGGAAAAAGTATAGTTAAAAAAAACATGACAAGTGTTGGTAAACAGTATAGAGGTTCCTCATAAAATTAAAAATAGAACTACCATATGACCCAGCAAGTCAACTTCTGGGTATTTCTCCAAAGAAAACAAAAAACACTAACTCAAAAAGATATATGGACCCCATGTTCATTGCAACATTATTTATAATAGCTAAGATATGAAAACAACCTAAGTTTCCAAAAATGGATGAACAGATAAAGAAAATGTGGTGTGTATATATATACAGACAATGGAATATTATTCAGCCATAAAAAAGAATGAAATTTTGCCATTTGTAGTCACATGGATGGACCTTGAGGGTACTATGCTAAGTGAAATAAGTCAGGCAGAGAAAGATGGATACTGTATGATCTCACTTATGTGTGGAATCTAAAAACAAAACCAAAACCAAAACCATAGATACAGAGAACAGACTGATGTTTCCCAGAGGGAGGGGGTGGAGGGTGAGTGAAATGGTAACGGGGGTCAAAAAGTACAAACTTCCAGTTATAAGAGAAACAAGTCATGAGAATGTAATGTAGTGCACAGTGACTATGACTACAGTTCATAATACTCTACTTCATATTTGAAGGTTGCCAAGAGAGTAGATCTTAAAAGTTCTCATCACAAGAAAAAAAAATTCTGTGATTCTGTGTGGTGACAGATGTTAACTAGACTTACTGTGGTGATCATTTCACAATATATACAAATACTGAATCATTAGTTGTACACTTGAAATCTAACATAATGCTGTATATCAATTATATCTCAAAAGAAATCTATATCAGAAGAATAGCTTTTAAAAATTCCTAGGTGGGTATAAACTGGAAGAAAAAACTAATAATTAAGCTAAAAGGAAATCATAACAAAAATTTGAAACATTCATAATATAAAATTTATGACACATAGGTATAGCATTAGTTATAGAAGTAAGCTTACTTTAACTATGTTCATCAGAAAACAATCTAGGTTGAAAACAGAGGAGCTAACCACGGATAACATTAAAGATGGGTGGGGGTGGGGGGTGGGAAGAGTAAATCCAAAGAAGAAAGAAGCAAGGAGGTTATAAAGATAGGGCAAGAATAAGCGAAAGATAGAAAAAAGAGAAATAATGAACAAAACAAAAGCTGTTTCTTTAAAAGGCAAAATAAATAGTTTGCAAGACTGATCAAGGGAAAAAAAGGAAATGCAAATAAATAAAATATACGATAAAAAGAGGAGACTAGACATGACAATTTTAAATAAAATTTTATAAATAGCTATGTGCCAATAAATTTAAAAACTCAAAGTGGATAAATTTGTAGAATGTAATCAAATGCCACATATAGCACACAGAGAAAAATAAAACTAATAAACCTAATATCCACAGAAGAAACTTAAGTGGTAATCAATGATTTCCTTCTGGAAGAGGCTCAAGGAGTAAGTCTACACGGTTTCATAGATTGAGATCTCTCAAACTTTCAAAGAACGGATGACCCCGATTTTATACAAATTGATCCATGAAATGGAAAGAAAAGGAGAAGGGGGAGAAAAATATGTAAATCATTTAATGAGGTCAATGTTCTCTTGATTCCAAAATTAAGTAAAAATGGTACCCAAAAATTTAAGCATTTTCACTTATGAGCACATTTGCACATATACCAAATAAAACATTATCCAATAAAATCAAACAATGCATAGGAAAAAAATCATTATCAATTAGGATTTACAACATAAGGATAGTGTAATATTAGAAAAACCTATCAACTGGATTCAGCACATTAATGAACTTAGGGAGAAATCACATAAAATTATCGCAATAGTTGCAGAAATAGTCTGATAAACACATTACCTACTTATGATTTTTTTTAAATCAGAAAACTTGATAAAGGATATGTACCAAGAACCTACAGAAAAAAAAACTCAATGCAGCACATTACTTTTAAGACTGAGAAAAATTTAAGATTCCTCACTGTTACTAATACCTAATCACGAAGGGCCCTGTATGCCATGGTAAGGAACTGAACTTATGCACGCATTAAAGAATATTAAGCAAGAGAATGACATAATCTGGTTTGAGGACGAGAAAGATCACTCTTGCGGCACCGTGGAAGATGGGTTAGAATGGGGAAGATGAACGACATGGCAACCACATAGCAGGTTATTCGAACCATCAAGGTGAGAAAAATGAGATCCTGAGTAAAGTGACAAAGATGCTGACAAGTCTCAAGGACTTAATAGTTACCAGGAGGTGGAACTGAAAGGATTTGCTAATATTCTCGACATCCTGATCTAGGGAGTAGGTGAAGAAGACCAATCATGATTAACTGAGTTTTTAATTCAGACAGTTCTAGTTTGAACGAACTGATGCCATACACAGATATTACAGAACACAGAAAAGCAGGTCCCAGAGAAAAATAGTTTTCTTTTGGAAATGTTGAAATTGAACTATTTATATAACATAAAAAGGGGCTGTTTAAATATCATTTGGAAGTACAGATTTAGTGCTTAGAGCAATTGGGTCCAAAAATATATGCTTGGAAAAATCATCACTGATAGGCAATAACTAAAACCACTGGAGTGCTGAAGAGGAAGAAAGTGAGGAGGCCAAATACAGAAGCCTACTGATAGCAGCCCTTCGGGAAAGAGAAGAAAGGGGTGGGACGGTTAGACAGGTAGGAAACAAACGGTAGGCAGAATTCAAGGTAGTAGGCGGTTGGTCTTATTTTTTTTTTAATATTTATTTTATTTATTTTCCTTATTTTTTATTTTCTTAGCTGCGTTGGGTCTTAGTTGTGGCACACGGGATCTTCGTTGAGGCATGCAGGATCTTTCACTACTTTTCTCTCTAGTTGTGGCGCGCGGGCTCCAGGGCAAGTGGGCTCTGTAGTTTGTGGCACGCGGGCTCGCTCGTTGAGGCGCGCGAGCTCAGTAGTTGTGGCGCGTGGGCTTAGTTGCCCCACGGCATATGGGATCTTAGTTCCCAGACCAGGGATCGAAGCCACGGCCCCTGCATTGGAAGGCGGATTCTTTACCACTGGACCACCAGGGAAGTCCCAGGAGGTTGGTTTTAAATGTTCCAAAGAAACCAGGCAAAGAAAGACTGAAAAGTATCTTTTCAACTGAATATTAAGAAATTCCTGTTAATCTTAAAGAGAACAGATTCACCTGAATAGTGACGGCAGAAACGAGATTGCATTGGACTGAGAGGGAAATGAGAAGAGAAGAAAAAGTGACGAGTGGGACCTGATTGTTCAAGAAGCTCCAGCTGTGAGGGAAAAGTATTACAAAGGCTCGTATTTAGAGAAGATTTTTAAAGGAAACGATTTGAGCGTATTTATAAGCAGATGGGATAGAGCTAGTGAACAAGTGAAAGTAAGGAGAAAGGTGAGGATGAAGATCCTTGAGGATGGGGGACACGGGCATGAGCCCCTGCTTTGGCAGGAGGAGGCACAGCCCTCCCTCCGAGAGAACAGGGATCTTTGTTTTGTTCACTGATGAATCCTAAACATCCCTAACATACCTAGCATGCAGTGGGTACCCAAAAAGTATTTATGGAATGAATGCTATTTAAGAGAAAAAATGGGGGCACTTTTTCTGGGGGAGTGTGAGAAAAGTTGAACGAATGAGTCCAGCACATGGCCTTTATATTTCTATAAAGTAGGAGCCACGATCATCGGATAGAAAGAAGGACAGAGACAGGAAAAGAGTGAGGATTTGAGAGAGTCACTGTAGAAAATGGAAAAGAGTGGCTGATGAGAGATAGTTTTGCTGGGGGATCAGCTATAAACAAATGTCAGACATTTGTAAGGCCACCACGCCACCTAGTTGTTTCTTTTTCTCCAAGAGGACAGGGTGTACCACCTGCAAAAGTGGGTGACTAGATGTATTCAGAATTGGAAACTCAGCAACCATGCCACGTGCACAAAAATGAGGCTCCACCTCCCACGACTTCTACTACGGATACTTATGAACACTGAAAAAGGGGGCACCTTGCACGCAAAACTTACAGAACAGGAACTCAAAACATTTACTGAATAAATGAAATTTCCTCAAAATTTTTTCTTGAGATGAATACACGTTATGAAACACAGTTTCTTCTTTTGTATTGACTGCTGGCTTGATCTGGCAGAGGTACCATTTAGCCAGTCAAAAAAAAAAGAAGGGTATCTTTACATAATAAAAATATAATGAAGGTCCAATCAACGATTGACTAGTTTGGATAGATTAAAATACTACTTGAATTTTTTTATATCCTAAAAAAAGAACAAACTTACCACGCGTTGAGCTGCTATCAATGCCGCTAATGTACTTCGCCCTGGTGCTCCCGGGGCACAGAAGGAAACTTGAACTTTGCTTCCCTTGATGGTCATACCATCAGCTGCTTGTTGAACCTCTTCAGCGTGCTCTGCAGTGCTATATTCAACCACCGCAAAGCCACCAACATAACTACCTTCATCCTGTGCAAGCTGATGTGATACATTTATTAAAAAGGGAATTCTAATATTTAGCTAGAAATACTTATTTACAAGTATATCATCTAAAAATTCAAGGACAAATGTCTCAGAGCATGATACTGGTGAAAATAATGTATTCTTTCCTTCTGAAAATAAAAGTTTACTAGCTGGGTAGATGCAGTCCTTCTAGAAGATGGGAAAAGTAAGATTCTGTCCGGTTTCTTTTTACTTCTTTGAATCTCTGATTTATTTTAAAAGTCAATGTTCAAATGATAATAGTCCCTATATATTAAGCTATATATATAAAACTGATAATTTATAGAAAAATATGGGACACAATAATTAAAACTTTCTTTAAAATAAAGTCACCAGATACGCAGACGATGAAACATGCTGAACAATTACTGGATCATATATCTATGTAAAATAACATTTGCATTATCAAGAGAAGAAAGGTAGAAGGAACCACATTCAAAGGTTATTTCAATATTTTAGGCAGATCCCAGGAGTTTGGTCAAGTATACCAAAGCAAACCTTATTTAGGAAAACTGTGTCCCAGGTTTGTTTAAAATACCATATTCAGGACACAACCTTTTTCTGAATGTGCCCTAAATAAACTCCTGCAATGCAGAACTCAATTTATTTCCAGTCACCCACCTGTAAGAGTGTAAAAGAAGATACTAAAGTCCTGGATCTGTAAAGACTGGTACAAAGAGCAAAAGTAAGAACAAAATAAGACACTAAAAAGTTTCTAGAGCAAAAGTAAGAACAAAATAAGGCACTAAAAATTTCTAAGTGTTGAACATGTCTGAATCATCTTAAACACACTAATGCTATAAAGTGATAAATGTGATAAAATTCAGCTTCGTCTGTCTTTGAGAAGACACACCTACAATACTTCTATTTGAATTTGGCATCCCATAAATTGATACTACAATTAAATCATTTTCCAGTCCTTTTTAGTTTCTTTTCTTATTTTTGAAGCTTTTCGTGTAGTAGACCGAATTTCTATTTTTTCTTCACATTCTTCCTTCCTTTTAAAACTGCCCTCAAATATTTTTTTCCTCCATAAAACTTCTTCCATTCGCATGGGAGAAAGGAAAAATATCTACCTCTTCCAAACATTTCTCCTACAACCTCATTCCTTTTAACCAAACCAAATCTTAAAATCAGATTTGTAATCTGATCCCTTCTGACCACGAGGTAAGAAGACTGTGTCTTCCATATAGTCTATGTCAACCTACCAAGCGAGAGAGCCTGAGTTTAACAGATCTACTGATAAAGGCATTGTAAAGTGGCTTTATTAACCTTCTGAAAACTTCTAAAATATTTTTATTATTCCTGGTTCATTATAACCTTCATGCCAAATAAATGACACTATCATTTTAAGTCTTTCAAAAGACAAAGTCATTTTAATTCCATAGCGTCAGCAGTTTTAAAGAATATTTACATTCAGTATGAGAGCCATTTAAATATGTAATGGCCTGACCTGTGATCTAGTGAATTTTCCATTATTTTGAAATATTTTAACAGAAGCTAAATGATCACTCACAATTATTGTAACTTTTTTTTTTTACCAGATGGAAAGCTAGACTAGATAACCTCTCAGTTCTATACAGTATATATTTTTGCCTATTTAGTAGAACATATTTAATTTTACTCAAAGTGCTTGAAAATTCTTACCAGTGTTGTCAGTTTTCAGGATCTTCTCTAAATGTCTCACTTACCATGACCCCATTAAGATAGAATAAGGCATTCTTTTTACACCTCGTAACACTTTTCTATTTTCCATTGTATCAGTCTTCATACAGGATTTACAATTATCTGCTTACTTGTCAGTCTCTTCCACAAACTTGTGCGGTATTAAGAGAGTATCTTTACATTTCCAACATTTAGCAATATAGTGTCTGGCACTGAGAAGGTGATAAACAAAATGTGGATGGATAAAGGGATCAATGCATGAATGGTTCAAGAGTGGATGGAATGAGAAGGTGGATGTGTTAAGTGATGGGTTTGCTGAGACATAATTATATAAAGACAATGTAGTTTGGCCCATCAGCAAAAGGGACTGATTTAAAATTTACCATCATATGAATTGGGAGATTGGGATTGACATATATACACTAATATGTATAAAATGGATAACTAATAAGAACCTGTTATATAAAAAAATAAAATTCAAAAATAAATACAAAAATAAATAAAAATAAAATAAAATTTACCTAAATAAATAAATAAATAAAATTTACCATAATATTAAAGTGTTCATTACAGACTCAATTAGAATTAGATTATCCATTGTGATATTTACATAGGTATAATAAATACGTGAGTGCATGCAGATACATATGCAGATATTTTTAAATATTGCAAATGATGACTTAAAAATACATACCTGGCAAAACACAGGTTTATGGATACTGGAAAAAAACTGCAACAGCTCCTCTGAATCCCTGTAGTCACTAGGGAGTTTATCTATACAAAGGCACTTAGAATGAATGAGCTCTGCGGCCAAGAGATTAACATCCATCCACTGTGCAAAGACAGCTGATGCTCCCAAATGTTTACCCAATAGCTCCAATCTAGCCTTTGCAGCAAAGTCCTTTTTCATGTATTCCACAAATCCATAGCCTTTGGAATGGCCAGTAACTTCACTGTAGACCAGAAAACATCTCTCGACATTTCCATAAGCACGAACAAGTTCTTCAAACTCTTCTAACGTAAAAGAAGTGGGCAAGTTGGTAATACATAGCAAAGCATCTGTTGGCTGGAGCTGGACTATTAAGTCTTTTCCTCGAAATGAATATTGATGAAACATCTGAATTGCATTCTGGGCTTGTTCTCCATTCAATAATGTAACAAAAGCTGGAAGAAGATAAAATGAACGAGAGTTTTCTGAGCCAGTGTTTACAAGCTTTTCTGACCATGACCCACAGTAAGGAAATACATTTTATACCTGTGCCTCAGCACATACATACATATATATATTTCCGAAACAAAAGTATCAGGAGATAACACTTCTATCATGTGCAATGCACTCTGATATTTTCTATTCTATTTCATTATTTTTAAATGCTGACACCCTCACTTAACTAATTTCACGACCAGTAACTCAAACAGTACACAAATTATATTAGGAGCTCCACTCTAAGATACCACAATATTCTGGGGGTGGGGTGGGGTGGGTAATCTTTTCAAAGTACATACAGACTTGATATTTTTTCTCAGTTAACACGTGATGCAAAATTTTATGAACTTTTATTTCTTCTCAGAGAGTTCTAAAAGACCCTATTTGATAACAAGAACCTAAAAAACAAAGGCAGAGCAAAAAGACACCAAAATGCCCAGAGGAAGACAATTCTCCAATTCATGTATATGTTTCCTTAAAATAAAATTAATTACATTGAAACAACAAACACACACACACAATTTGGTATGCTTTTTGGATGAACAATATGGTATGAAAAGATCACAGGATTATTATGATATTGACAAGTAGCTTAACTTTGAATCTTTGGTACAACAACCCCCCCCCAAAATTAAAAAATCTGTCCTGTCTACCTAATGGAGCTGTTCCAGCATTAAGCAACAATACACATGACAATCTGTAAAATCTAAAACATGATACAATTATAAAGTTCTAAATCAATGAAATATCACACAGACATGCGTATCTGATAAGATTTTTGAGCAATATTATAAGAAAAATTTTAAACCCCAAATAAAAGAAACAACACAGGGCAAACCAAAACTACAAACACACTGCTCTCTCAACCTTCCTACCTCTCCCTCTTCTCTCCCGCTCTGGAACACACAGTGGAGTTGCTCCATATGAGCAACTAACTTACCCAAATTCAATGATAACAACATGGCAAATATGTACAAAGCAAGCAAGAAGGAAGAATTTAAACAGTGTGGACGATCCTGCCTGTCATTTCACTCAATCTGCTCTTCCCTCAGCTGGTCTTAGTGCCCACGCAGCTCTCAGACTGAGCATCTCACCACACTTTAACATTTAAAGAAACACATTTTTCACTTAACATGATCTCCACATACAAGGAAACTACTTACAAAGGAATAGCTAACTCTTCCAACACTAAGGGGGAAAAATGGCTTTGCTGCACTTATTGAGAGAATATCTCTTGGTTTCCAATAACCCCTTTTAAAGAACTTGAGTCACTTTGATTTTATGCCTTTCTTCCCTTATGCTGACACAGAATACCATTTAATGATATTTTGCTAAAACCAGCAAACAAGCCAACAACAATTTGTAAATACTGGTTATGTTCCTATACCAGCTCATAAGCTCATCAGCTCATGTTTGATTTGAATTCTCTGGGTATTTGAAACTGTTAACAATTCCCTTCCTTAACTTCCTTGATAAAGTCCTTCCTGATTTTCTTCATAGCTGTCCAAGCGCTCCTTCTTCCATTTCCTTTGCAAGATTTTTCTCCACTCACACCTGTAAGGTGGTAATCCTTTCTTTTTTATTGAGGTATAGTTGTTTTACAATGTTGTGTTAGTTTCTACTGTACAGCGAAGTGGAGTTCCCTGTGCTACACAGCAGGTTCTTATTAGTTATCTATTTTATACATATTAGTGTATATATGTCAATCCCAATCTCCCAATTCATCCCACTTTACCCCTCCCACTTTCCCCCCTTGGTGTCCATACGTTTGTTCTCTACATCTGTGTCTATTTCTGCCCTGCAAACCGGTTCATCTGTACCATTTTTCTAGATTCCACATATATGCGTTAATATACGATACTTGTTTTTCTCTTTCTGACTTACTTCACTCTGTATGACAGTCTCTAGGTCCATCCACGGCTCTACAAATGACCCAGTTTCGTTCCTTTTTATGGCTGAGTAATATTCCATTGTATACACGTATGTAAGGTGGTAATCCTTAAGGTTGCTTCTTGGCAGAGTCACACACAGTCACAGCCATATGACTGTACCCAGCAGCCCTGAGCCATCAACCTCTCTTCTCTATGCCCTCTTCCCCTGGGCACTCATGTCCATGCCCATTTATTCAGTCTCATGTACCAGGTACTGTGTTGGGCACTGGAAAGGAGTTGGTGAACAAAACAAATAAGATCCCTTTCAACAAGGACCTCACAATCCAGTAGAGGATGATAGAGATTTGACAGAGAGTTACAAGTGTAATGTTATCAAAGAGGAAGTATGAGGGCTACGGAAGCAATTAAACAGAGCAAAATGGCTAGTCTGGGGGCTCGTAGAAAGCCTCCTATACCCTGTTAACTCTTAAATCTGTTTCTAGTCCTCAGTTCCACATATATCCACGTACTGATTCACACACGACCAAACGTAACTCACAATCTTCATCCTCTCCCTGCCATTCCCCTAAAATCCCAACATTGTTCAGCTTCCTTTATTCTCTATTTCAGTTGCCAGCATCACAACTCACAAATCAGAAACCTGGGAGTTACCCTAGACCCTATCTCCTTTAACTCCCACAAAAAAGGAATCCTCAAATTCTACCCTCCAAATAGATCCATCCTCTTTTCTTCATTCTTCTAGCTTTTCTTCTTTTTCCACAATGACAATAAAGCGATCTCTCAAAAACAAAAGTTTAATTGTGCCTGTTTACTGCCTAAAATGCAATCATCTGGTATCACCAATGAAGCCAAGCCTCAGCACAGTTATCATGTCCTACCAGGCCACCTTTTTTTTTTTTTTTTTTTCACCATGATCAAGTTTGGTTTATTTCAGGAATGCAAAATTAGTTTTATTTTAAAATAGCAATCAAGGGTATATGGGGACACGTGCGCACACACAGCCGATTCACCCTGTCACACAGCAGAAACCAACACAACACTGCAAAGCAACCACACTCCAACAACGATGTAAAAATAAATAAATGAATAAATAAAATAGCAATCAATATAAGTTGCCACATTACCAGCACAGAAAAGAAACATCACAGAGTATCTTAGTAGATGCAAGAAAAGATATGTGATAAAATTCAAAGTCCATGCAGGATAAAAATTCTTGGCAATCAGTGGAAAAGAAGGAAACATCCTTTATCTGTTAAAGAATGTCTATAAGGAACCTACATCAACATTAACGGTGAAAGCCAAAACCATTTACTCTGAGATAGGGAATAAGGTAAGGGTTCTTGTCTCACTAGTTTTATTAACATGGAATGAAGGTCTCTGCCAGTGCAGTAGGACAAATGCAAGAAGTAAAAGACACAAGGGTTAAGAGGAGAGAAATAAAGCCTGTGGGAAAGACACGCTTGAGTGTGTAAAAAATTCAAACGAACCCAACAAAGAATTAGAATATGTAAGTTTACCCAGGTTGCCTACCAGGCCCTTTTGATCTGACGCCAGCCTCAGTAACTGCCACACTTCCCTTCCCCACATTTCTTTATCCTCTAATGACACTGAGTTGTTTGTAGCTCCCTAGACTGCAACTTGTTTCAAGCATCTATATGTTACACATGTAATTCCCCTGCCTACGAGATCTCTCCCAATATCTTCAGCCACTCAAACCTTTTAGCTGGCTTTCAAATCCAGCCCAGAGGTTAACGCATCAGGATCTCCAGGAAGCATTCCCTGATGTTCTCTTCCAGTTAGAGTTAACCCTTGTTTTATTATACCTCTGTATTTTGAACATTGAATGGATTATTGCACACATCACACTTCATTATAATCTATTTGTTTAGATGCCTGCTATCCTATCAACTGTGAGCTCCCTAAATTGCTAATGAATATATCTCCATCAGCTACCATAGTGTCAGGCACACAGTAGAGGATCTATAAGTGTCAACTGAATGGATGAATGTATACATGCATAGATTAACTAGTACATTTTAAAACTGACAACTTCTTATTTTCCTTCCCTTAGGTATCTGCATTTGCTCAACCCAAGTAAGACATTTAATGGTAGAATTTAGATAACATAATGAAGCAAATTTAAAAGTCCAGGCAGTAGGAAAAAGAGGTCACTGGTTCTCTTCCATAGCTTCTTCCATTTCTTTGCAAGGCCATAAATTCTCTAAAAAAAATGTCCAATTTTCTCACATTGACTCTGTGGAAGTGAAAGATGTCACTCTACAGAGAAAAGGGTATAAGGGATTTGGAGATTAGTTCTGTTTCCATTTTCCTACCAAAATTTTAATATTCAACGATTGGTCCCAATCCTTTCACAAGTCACAATTTTATTTATCCTTTTGCCATTGCTTGCTCCACTAGTTAATTTATTATTGGGACAAATTTGATGGCAAGCATGCAAAAACTTTTTTCCTTAATGTATCCTATTTTAATACAATTATTTCTTCTTATTTATAACAGAGAGCTCTGGTTTTAAGGTCACAGTTTATAACTGTAGCCATCCTTTATTAATCTATTAATTATTATCTGTTTCTTCAAACACCACCATAGCTCCTGAAATCCAAGGCAATGTCATTTAATACAATTACTGAGTTTCTTCGTTGTATTATTCTAGTGGGTGATTTTGGCTTTGTAGTATACATCTTTAACTTAACAGTTATCATGAAGTGATACTGGTCTCTTTCTGTATAATCTAAAAACTTTACAACAGTGTACTTCCATTCCTCCCCTCCCAACCTTTGTATTGTTGCCATGCATTTTATTCCTACATGTGTTATAACCTCTACAATATAGTTATTATTTTCACTTTTAGAGATCTGAATATTAATAAAACAGTCTTTACACACACATACACACACATAAAGACAACATCTGGTACTCTGCACTTTTTTGTGTAGATCGGATTCCCATCCAGCATCATTTTCTCCATGCTTTATTAAAGGACTTCTTTAAATACTTCTTATGATGCAGGTCTGATGGTGATGAATTCTTTCAGCTTTATATGATTG